TTATTCTATTAACTTACACCATAAAACCTCTCAGCTGTTTGTGTGAACCAGTTATTCACTGTGTGCTGTCCGCAGATTGCAGAAGACATCGATTATATGAAGTTTGAGAAAGGTCCGTGGTTGGATCAGGATGACGTCACCTTCCACCACATGAGGATGTTGTGAGTTCCTCATGACTTTTGCACGATATCACATTAAAATGCAAATGACACAAAGGAGCATTTGGATTCATACATTTTGCACAATTCATTGTATTACACTCTCAGCTTCTCAACCTGAGGTAAATTATGGAGAGAAGTGAAAATGCAAATGTGCTCTAATTGCTCTAATTACCCTTTGTGTGCTGCGCTCAGTTAATCTATTCTGCAGAGCAGGTTTCAACATATTGCAGAAGCTTTTTCTTTTTCTTAATCTCTCTTCTCCTCTTTATTTTATTCTCTCTCTTTTTTTTTTTTTTTGCAGCGTGGAAGACAAACATCAGGTTTCAACCCTGACCCACATACCCAGGTTCCTGCCAGAGATAACCATTGGGGCCCACGACTACGATGAAAAATACTATGCTTATAGATCGGTAGGTTGAGACAAAATATATATTTATTAGCTTGTTGTAGTGTTTCTGGAACAGCTCATCTCCTGGGATGTTCTCTATCCTTTACCCAGAATGCATAAAACAGAAAACAATCGCTGTGCGACACTTCGGAAACGTGTTGTTGAACTTCGAGGTCAGAGAACGACTGTGATCAGAATCCTCACCAACCGCAGCAGTAAAATATTCACTGTAGCACATCAGGGATGTTTCTGCTCAGTCAGTGACACTCGGTCAGTTTGCATGTTGTGTTATGTTTCACAATGAGTGCGGAGCTCCTCCACAGCATCGCCATGGTGATGGTCATGAATTGCTTGGTGAGTGCACGTTCCGCTTGTCAACAGTTGGGGGCAGCAACGTGCAAGAAAATTAAACTACCTGGTCACAAAGGCAAAGATTTATGGACGAGCGTCGAGGAAGGTTTCAGTCGAACGTACAGCGACACCTTCGTCACGTGGTGTCTGCAGGGCCGCAGGAACACGAGGGAATTCAAGTGGAGGGGAAAAGAAGTTCCCTTCAGCAGGACGGCATGGGGCTTGAGGAAAGTGTGTTTCCATGGAGATGGACTGAAATGTCTGACCCTGTTATTCTTTAGACTCAGTGCTTTCCTCAATGGTTCCTGACGCTGTTGAAGTCAGCGATTTATCTATGAAACCTGCAGGTCTGCTGCATTTCACGATAAGCATCAAACACATGGTCTCAGCACACGGAGATGTCCCCGTTTACATGAGCTGCCAAACATATTAACTGAGTTTCCTCACATCATAGAGGGACACAAACAAACCTCCAATTATAACAAATCCAAACTAGAACTCAGTAGAGCGCTCGTCTCCGCCGAGGCCCAACAGTCCCCTTATTAAACCACAGTTAAATTCACTGGAGTAGTATTAGAGTAATCCTGCTCACAAACAAACAGACGAAGACATTCTTGGTGCTTGATCTGCTCGAGTACACACACTTGCATATTCTGTACAAATAAAGCACAGACAGAAAGATGCACGCAGGTGTTCGTTTCACAGATTATAGAAAACTTCCTGAGTGAAGTCGGCTGAGGTGTGAGACCCTCGTGCACGTGATCGGTTCTTTGTGCTCGTTAAGTTCACGAGTCTGCGGCTGTGTTGAAGTCCTGACATTACTGGCGGACGCGTTGCCCTTTTGTTTGGCGGTTTGTAATTACCCGGCGATAACTTATCTCCTCTCTTGTGTCGAACGCTTTATTAAAAAATTCACATTATCGAGGAACCCTGCGTTTGTCGAAGTCGATCCATGCGGTTCTTTTTACTCTTACTCCTCCGCCCTCTGTGACGCAGAGCCTGTGCAGCACTGTCAGCATGATTGAAATCATTTTCTTCCGCTGAAATATTGAGCGACTCATAGTTACAAGAAGGCAAATGTCAGATGTGGAATATTCGGCGGGGCTTTTGGTATCATCAGTCTTGGAGAGAAACATTTGGGTTTGACCTTTTCTGTTTATTGACTGGGGACTTTTTTTGTCTCCCCTGCTGCAGAAATCAAGCTGCATTATGCTGCAGGAGGCTGTGACCCGACATTTTGTCGTAAGCCTGTATCTCCATGGAGAGAATGAGAAACTGTGACACGTGGTGGCGTAATTTTCTTCGGCACATTCGAACCAACAGATTAAAAGTCGCTGAGGATGTTTGCAGCGTTGGTGCATTGCAGATTCCATAGTAAAAAATTATCGAAGATAAACTTTGATAGTTGATTACTTATCACTGATTACTTTACTTATTAAACTGTCAAAATAAAGCAATTTTCTGCTGATTAAAATAAACAATCCGCCCTTTACTTGTAAACCATCGTCTTTATATTGAGAATTAAAAGTGTCTCGTTTAATCAGCGCTGTGTTTTGTTTCCCTGTAGCTTCCTGGGAAGAAGTACGCTCCCGGTTATAATGCAGATGTTGGAGACAAGTACATCTGGCTGAAGTGAAGGAGTTCACGGGTCCCAACTCTGGACCACTCGTCTAGTATTGATCCAGTCGTCTTCTGTTGTCCATCCCAAATAACATGTATGTATTAAAAGAATAAATTTTGAATCTAATGAATCTCTTGTCTTTGTTTTCATTATAAGAAATATTGAAGTTCAGTTGTTTGTTTTTGGAAATACAGAGGAAACATGTTCAGTCACTGAACCATCGTTTAAATCGAGCCGCTGGTTTAAATGTAAAGAAATTGTTCATATCGTGTTTACGAAAGCTAAAAGAAGAATCTTAAAGTTTCCCAGGATAGTGAAGGTTTTATTCAAAGTTTAAAATTGAAAAATAAACATGTATTACTACATTTACATGTATTTGTTGTCGCTTTCATCCATAGAGACTTAACACTTCAACATTAGGAGCAACATACTCAGCTCATTATGATCCTTTCTGCCTCGTGTTTTTTCTAAGATTAGACATTTGACACTTTGCTTAGTTTCCTATCACCTTACTTTCCCTCTCAGCAGCATCATCACCAACATCTGTCTACTTTTCACTCAGCGAGTTCTCAGCCTCTCACAGCTCGAGAACGCGTTGCCTCTGTCAAGTCTACTTATTTGGCCTTGACTCTTATTTTGAAGGACCAGACACAGAGCGCCTGTTCTTTGAAAGACTTGATTAGTTTGTTTTCCGGGGCCGAGGTTGTAATCACGGATTGATCACAGGCACAGATATGAGGATAAACTGGGCTCAGCGTGCAGCGGAGACGTGGCTAAACCTCCAGTGAATTGTTGCTTCCTGCTGTCAGATCTTAGCGAAGATCTCACTGAGGTGAGTCTTCATCATCTGGCTCAGCTTCCTCCTCCTCCTCATCATCACAACTGGTTCTCAGCTCCAACACTGTTCAATCTGATCCAGCTGAACAGGACTGAGAACAGGTTACAACACGTCCAACACTTCACATGTCCGCCGCTCTGAGACACAAGACGACCTCTGAGGCTGAGGGAAGAGGTGATGAGAAGATTGCATCACCACATGTATACGAAAAATAATGAAATATTCAATTTAAAATCACAAGAAACTAATAATTGGACAGTTTCTAATGCTCCTCTCTCCTGCACAGAAAGCACTGACGCTCCCGAAACCCCTCATCAGTCGTCCGGACCAAACCCCGCCTCTCATTGAGACATCACGTTAGCATAATGCACGCCTGGCAGCTCGTCTCAAACGCCCCCGGACAAAGTCAGGCTACACGTTTATTCCAACCTAGAAGGTGGAGCCTTGATGACCCTGTAGATGACGTGGATTTAAATACGTATTTAATTCAAAACCAAGTTCATCTGTGACACGAGTGTTAGATGTTGAAACCTAAAACCACACCAGGATGATTTGAAACACGATTAACCTGGGAAATGATTATTTTAAAGATAATCTCATTTGAATCCTGTGAAAATACTCTCCATGTTACAATCTCTGCTTCAGCCCTGAATATGTCCATCACACGGACAGTTAGAACAAAGAGGCTGAATCGTGATGTCTTATTTGACTCTGTCTCAAGAGGACACGCTGCGGTCGATTGGTTTGACCCCGACGGGTCGGAGCTCCTGCAGAGACACAGAAAGAAAACACAAGGTTCGGAGTTCAGCTTTCATGTGCTGCTGTGGAAGCCATTTGCATAATCCTTTAATTAATGTGAGTTGCGAGCGGCTCGATGCGTTTGCAAAAGCCGGTGGAGAGAGTGATCAAAGAGGCACGATCTGTAAATCCAGACCGGAGACAACGACCCGCCTCGTCTCCACAGCAGCAGAACAACAAGTTGTTTTCCAGCAGACTCTGCAGAACAAGCGGCTCTGTCTGAATCTAGAAACTCAAACTGTCCAGAAAAGCACATGTAACATAAATCAGAAGGATTTCACTCATTTTCATCTAAAACATTTTCTTCTTCTGCTCCTGTGTCAGGACCTGCTGATCGAGATAATTATTAATAATGATTATTATGAATCTAAACCCCTCCCACCTGTAGCTAATTAAAAATTATATTATTATATTATCTCATCACAAATGAGTCTTCAACATGAATTTGATTAATTGGCCTGGAAATATTCAAAGAGCAGTGAAGGACAACTTCCTACGTTAATCACCACTTCTGAGAAGTTTCCGTGTCACTTTAACTTTAATTATCACAGCGAGCGTCACAAAGACGAAGACGAAGCACAGTAACTACTCATTCAGTCAAAACTGAATTCAGACTGGAAATAAACGTTGTGCTCACAGACAAGAGTCGGACCAATTCATCAATGAGTGGATATGAGAACTCTGTTTTTATCATCAAGCCTCACTTACATTTCTGTGACAACATCTTACAAGTCATTTTTTATAAATATCAGCTGATATAAAGTTGGAATTTTTCTGTATAGGTTATATAACCCTGTCTCCTCCAGGCTATTGGATGGGACATGGACCAAAATACAAATCAAACACACACAGTTTCTAAATGAGTTTGGTTTTAATTCGTTATTTGATGATATAAACAGACTTTATGTCATAATTGGCTCATAGTGACTGCTGATTGGTCGAGCGCAGATTCTGCTTCCAAAGGCAAAATGGAGGCATTCGTATCCAGGATATTTTGTCTTCATCTGTGGACGGTGGTACAAGCTGGAGACACGTTGTCCAACTCCCTCTGAGAACCACTCATGTCCGTCTTCACGAAGGTGTTCCAGGCTCTTTAAAGTCCTGCTCTCCAGGACGTCAAACAGGACAAACTCACGCCCAGAGTGAGACGTCTCCCTCCAGCACTCAGAGCCGGCCCGGCCTCTGGAAACTTTGGAAGTTGATGAAAGTCGTGTCCTCCGCCAAAAGGCGATGTTATTCCCTTTCCAACGCTTGAGACCCAAAGAGCCACAAACAAGCCAGAGGGGGTTCTGTCAGAGTTCTCCGTCAGATCAAAGCGCTCCGTGTTGAATGGGAAGTCGCTGAGAGCAGTGGAGACGATTTCTGTGTGAGGAGCTTCTATATTTCAGGTCCGGGAGACAGTTACATCCCTTACAACGAGCTCGAACTGCCCTCGGAGCTGAGGAGGTGAGACACGATCGTGACGGGGAAGTAACCTTGAGGCCAGAGGGAGAAAGAAGAAGAATTAAACCTGCTTGTTATATTCCTTTACATTCTGCTGCTGTAACATACAGAAAACTATTTTGAAAGCAACACGAGGAAACTTCCTGATATAAGAGCTTTAAAATGAGTTGGATGGTTCGGTGACTCGGACCGACAGGGAGAACGTGCAGAGTTAACCGAGTCTGACAAACATCCGTTTTTTTTTGTTTTTTTTTGTGTCCGATGGTTTTTTTTTCCCCATTTACAGACGCGTGCAGCGTAATGAGGTAGATAACCAACACGAACAAACCCAACCTCAAATATAACCAGAGGGTGTTTGGTCCTTTCAGTCAGAACTCACAGCGACGCAGCCGCTGGTAAGAAAAGATACGATGCAGTGAAAAGGTGAATAAAATAAAACGCCTCATTACCTTCACGTACATTATGAGTAAAATTTCCTGTGGGTTTGGACATTGTCAACAAAAATATATAACATCGGTCTTTAGACATTTTAATGCAGATTTATTACATATTATATCCCATAATATATTATTTCTAAAGGTACTACTCAGGTCCTTGTGGTGTTCAACAGGTGATTGGTCATTAAAGTTATTTTACTGAATTATTACATCTCAAATTATTTGGTGCCCGACACAATGAGTCTCCACGTGTGACTGCAGAGGGCGCTGTCTCTCAGGGAGAGTTATGCTTTAAAGGTTCAGCGTGTAGAATTCAGTGACATCTAGTGGTGAAGTGTCATATTGCAGCTGAACGCCCCTCACTGGGCTGCTGTTAAAAAAAAAAACATGGCGGCCTCCGTAGAGAGGACCCGCCCCCGATGTAAATATAAAGTATTTAAATAAAGGGTTGAGGTTAGAGAGCTCATAGCAACACCGATAGATCCTTTCTCCTGAATCTTAATCACTGGAACTTTAAAAGACATCCGATGCAAAGTAACTGACATCAACACAAAAAACTGGTCAGAGTTGAGTGTGAAGGAAGAAAGAGAAGAGGAGTAAGTGCCTCACGGGTCAGTCGGAGTGTAACAAAGTAAGAAATCAACTCGTCTTGGCCTGGACAGTCAGCAGAAAGTGGAGGCCAAGACGCCTGCCAGCAGCTGAAAGGAGCTTGTCTGCTCGTACTCCCAGCGCCAGGTCATCAGGCCGACTCAGACAAAGGCGGTGTGAATAATTGACAGCACAGCAGTCCGCTGCAGTCACATCCAGCTAATGGAGGATGGGGGGGGGGGGTGTGAGGCTGCCACAGCTTCCTGTCTGGTGAAATGTAACACTGAACGTCTGAGGTGGAAATCTTCACAGAACAGGTTGGTACCTCTGGACCCGAAGCAGAGGCGACGCGTCGGTGAGTGAAACTGGACGGGAATGAAATCCAGCTGTGATTCGGTCGTTCGTGACGTTGACGAGAGACGAAGCAACATCTGGAATCTTCTCCTTTCCCCTTGGAAGACATTGATCATCACAGTGTAAATCAATCAATACATGAACACACATCTGGAGCAGCTACAGACCAATCTGTGACGTGCTGATGGAACGTAACACAACTTAATGCACAGTCCAAATATACCAGAGAGTTTGATATCAGAGTATCTATCGTACAAACTTACTTCAATCCCAATCTTCCCCAATGCTGAGACCCAAAATAAGGAGCGGAGCCATCAGGGACTCACATCCACATCCGTCTCATTGTGATGCATCACTGTAAAGCACAAAAACCATTAAAAACTATTTCATTAATTTCAAAGCAAAAGATGCATCATCACAACGACAGATGATTTAAAAACACGACGAGTTCTCCAGACTCGTCTTTAATCTGCCGGCAGATCTTCGTGTCTGTCCTCCTCGTTTCCTGTCGTCTGTCTCGCGTCTCTATCGAAGCTGCTATGAACTGGTGATGGACAGTTTGACTCGTCAGCTGCGTCGATGACCTCACGGGATCATGAAGGTTACACCGTTTAACATTTCGAATCTTTTCCTGGCAGAGTCAGACGACACAGAAATATACACGTTATAATCAAACATAAACACATTTAATATCGTAGAATTGGCTGATATTAAATGACATTATAAAACTAGTGCTCTAAATGAATCTGCTTCTCAAGCTCCACATATTGAGATTTATTTTAATAATTTTTTTTTTAACTCAAAGCACCTTGTAACTCTGGAAAGTTGCCCCCCCCCACACACACGTTTCTGTGTTTAATATTATTATTACTATTCTTAATTACACTGTGACTGCACAGATTGGTTCATTGGTTAAATATCTATTTATATTATACTGATAACTATCCCAATTATTTTCTATCTGTAAGTTGTTTAATTTTGACTAAAAACTCTAATATATCAGAGTTAATTTATCTGCACACTGTAGTTTATTTAATCCCGCTCGGCCTTGACTCCAGAGTCTCAGCATCAAACCTTTTCAGTCCACGTGACGACAAAAGACCAGAATTTAGGAGATTAAAAAAATCCCGTCATTAATCAGCGGCCTGAGTTCGCACCGTGAGGAGGCTGAATGGGTTTCTGGGTTTTAGGGGTGAACCGTTGCTGCAGGAGCTTTGTCATGTGTTGGGGATTTCGGGAATTTGACATCCCTGCAGAGCGTTTGACTAAAAGCCGACTTTAAAGTTTCATCTAAAACTCACTGCCTCCTGGATTAAAACTCATTTAACGCCACACGACCGACCGATATGGCACAAGAAAGTAAATTTTGTTCCGCGCAAACGGCTCTGGAAGCTCTGTGGTGACTCTGCGATGGAGCCGGGGGGGAACATTACTGGGGCTGGGGTTCATTTCTCAGCCGCGCTGAACTGTGGCATCATGGGAGTTCCCCTGAGCCTGGGAAAGAAAAGCAGAGCGAGAGGCAGAAAAAGGAACGTCACTGTAATGGAGGAGGACAATTATCATCTGAATATAAATCTAATTATTCCCTCCCTCCCTCTGATTTTGCGTCTGCATGAGGCTGGAAAGGCAACGGTCACACGGCGTCCCATCATGCATCAGTGCAGAGCAGCAGATGGCAGTGTTGCTATCTGGGAATATGAGCTTTGTCTCAGGGAAGGTTCTGTAGCTCTGGGCTCAGTGTTGCCTCTGGGTAACATCACTGAAATGAAAAACACACACAGCAGATACCTGAGTTAGCGGCTGAACCAGCATCACTTTATTAAATCCACGTTTTTAGAATCCGTCCGTCAATGTTGTTTCTTACCACAACTCCTCGCGTGGACATCATCAGTGGAGGCTGCTGCACAAACAGAGACATGACAATATTACAACACAAAGATCACCACTGATCTTCATTTCATCAACTATTGTACAATATTTGAACCCTCGAATGTTTTTTGTTGGTTTTTGATTTATTCTGTTTTTCCTCATGAATATTTTCTTACACCCTGGTCTGCGCTCCAAGCTTTTTAAAAAAAACAAAAACTTTTCTATTCGTATCTTTAATATTCAGCGATACGGAAACTCAGGTGGGAATAGAAAGCTAACGGCTCTAAATGCTACATTACCCATGAACCTCAGCAACTCCGGAGACAGTAAACAAAGATGGACGACATGACAGCTCCGCAAAGTGAACTCAAAACCTCTCCATCGCCCCCTGGTGGCCGGCTTCAGTATGAACCCATAAAGAAACACACGTCAAATAAATGTTTCTCAAAGACGGTTTCAGTCGAGCACGAAAATCGACGGGGAGCCACGATAACGAGACTCCGCACCGTGATCGTTACTGGCACTCAAGATGGCAGCGTTCACACCCAGGGTAATTTAGCTTTATTTTCTGGATGGTGAGAGGAAGAGGAGACACGTTCTTCATCTGTAAACACTTTACAGAGCAAAGTGTAAAAAAAACATGCAACATACAAACGTGACACGCGAAAGCTGCTTGTTGCATCGGACCGGTGAGCTGCACACCCGTATACGTAAACGGTGAAGAACACCATGATCTGAATAAATGATCAAACGGAAACAGAGTGTGAACAGCAGTTGTTTGAATGATGTTTCTTCAGGTAACATTGCACCAGAGTTGCTGACTTGGTCCAAATTGGTGCAGTATCTTAGAGTTAATTGATTTAAACTGCTGAAACAAGTGTCTGGTTCCTGCAGAGCTTCCAGAGTTGTGTTAACAGGATGTGCATTAAAAAATAAAGCTATTAAAAGCCTTCTGACTGGCTGTTTTTTTAGCTTAATGCTCCTTGGGAATGGTAGTTTACTTCTCCTCATAAAGGATGGTGTTATCCTATATTTTTCTAAAACGCAGCAAATCTTAAGTAAACAACAGAAAACAACTGAGTGGTCCTCCAGCTCCCTCCCCTCCCTCCCTCCCTCCTCCCTCCTCTCCCTCTGCTCACCTTCTCATCCGAGCAGCTCAGCATAAACATCCAAACACACAAAATGTCCAAAAGCCCCAAATCACAGTTATTACCTCCACCGAGCAGGTTCTGTTATCGACTCTGTGTCTCTGTTTGGTTCTTTGTTAGATTACACAAACACTGCTGGACTAATTACCTCAAAAACTTTGAGGTGTTTTCAGACACGAGCTCTGGACAACGGGGGCCTGGGCTTTCTCCAGAGTTTCACACACACGACCGACTCAGCAGGAGCTTCTCCTCAGGCGAGGGGTGGTTTCGTCTCTAGCACCTCTCCTCAGTTTGTACTAGGGGGCGCTAACGGGAGAAACCACGTATACGGCACCTCGGGATCATTTCTGGAGATGATCTGGAGTTCACGTCTGGAGGTGGAGGGAAGTTTCGATGTGGATCCTGATCAAGAGGCACACAACATTAACATTTTCACGTGTTTCCCAGAGAACAGTTAAATTACTTAATGTGAAAAAAATCAATATCTCTTCGTAAACGTGATCCACAGAAAATAACTCAACACATTTATTTCCACTCCACTGACGTTAAATAAACAGAGAACCATCATGGTTCATTTGCTGCTAGCTACACATTTATAAATGCACAGTAAATTTGATAATAAATACATATTTTGACATTTATGCAGCTTTAGGCTTTAGGGCAGATATCAGGAAACTATTAGTGCCCCCCCCCCTCCACCTCCGGAGAGGTAACTTCTGCATTTCTTCGCCGATGGCCTGAATCAATATATTGATCGATTTCATCTCCGTCCTGCTGGGTAAAATATTTTTCGGTTAAGAGCCTCACATCCTGCACTCATTTTTATTTTATGCGTTCACACAGACTGCGACTGTAACAACCACGAGTGCTGCGATTGGACGAGGACGGCGAGGGACTTGACAACGTCTGATGTTTTCAGGGTGTTGTGATTGTGACACGGTGGCAGAGTTCTCCGTCAAATCCCCTGACGGGTCATATAATAGGGTTATTGATAATCTGTCACCTCCCGTGCTTTATGTGTTGCTCCGGTTCAAGTGTGATATTTCAGCGAAAGCGCCTCCAGTTCTCGTGGACGTTTGCGGCGTTCTACTGTACATTCCATCCACGCCGCGCCCCATTAATCTGACCTGTTACTTTCACGCAGCCCTCGAGGTGTTACTCAAATTTTTCTTTCTCTGGAATTCAGACGAGCTGCGAGGGATTAGTATTGATATCGACGAGGAGGCCAGATGCTGCATCAGTTAAATACACGAGAGGAGCAAAGATGAACAATAACCCAGATAACAGTTGATGAGGGAAGACAAGACATGCAAGAGATAAGAACAAAGGTGAAGAAGAGGGGAGGAGGGAGGGAGGGAGGGAGGAGGATGAAGGAGTGAGGGTAGGGATGAAGGGAACGAAGATGAAGGGATGAGGGAACGAGGATGAAGGGATGAAGGCTGAATAAATAAAAGACTATTGTGGATTGAATTTGCAGTTTTGAGGTTTTTTTTCATTTTTTCTGTGAATCTGTATTTTCTCCTGCAGCCGCTTCTGGAGTAAAAACAAATTAACCGAGTGTTACGACTCTCCTCTCTCTGGAGGTGCACGTCGTGCACGTCGTGCTCGCTGTGCGGCGATGGTCATGTGGTGGCGAGAAAAGAAAACATATGGAGAGGCTCTGCAGGATGTTCAGTACAGAGACAGAAGAAAAAAAGGCTGAGCTGTAGCCGGTCCTTTGTGCAGACGTCTCCCTGCGAGCCCGTTTCAGACTGTAATTGACTGTCCTCCAGTCGTCTGAACTGTCCGTCCCCGAGCTGCCTCAGTCGATGCATTGTGACACTTCCCTTTGACACGCTTTCAAAAGACAACGTCAATATGTCAACCGGGAGAATCAGGCCCAACTGAAAATCTTCCTCGTCTTCTTCTGCTTTGATATTTTTTCGGCGTGATTTTCCCGAAAAGGGTTAAAGGTCCCGTCTGTAAGATTCAGGTGAAAATGATCTTTTGGCGTTAAACGGATTTAAAAATAGTCCTCGTGATGTTTTCACTCGTGTGGAATCTTTTAAATTGTCGATTTCTTTCCCTTTCATATTTAAATACTTGAAAGGGTTTGATAACTACATACAGTACATATCAGAATACACGTCAGCTAATGTATTAGTCTCTGAATTTGTTTACTTTCTAGAATCTATATCGACATCTCGGTTCCACTTCTGGAAATCACGCGTTCTCCTCCCTTGACCCTGGTGCGTTCACCGCCCCCCCACTTTACGCCACGTAGACAACATGGCGTCTATTTTCTTTTCCATTTTGAAACATCCGGCTTCTTCCTCTGCACTCAGAGAAGAAAGCGTGGAAGTCTCCAGATTGAGACACGGCTCATGTCTCGGAGTCCTCCGCTAATTAATGTGCGTGATACGGGCTCGCACAGGATAAATTTGCAGTTGGTTGGTGATAAGCCTGAGAGGACGATAATGTGAATAGAAATTTCCTTTGTTATCTTGTGACTGATACAAATGGTTGTATAGCAAATGTAATTTCCAGGCCATTTCCTTATCTTGGCCTTGCTTTCCCGTATAAAAGCATCGCTTCTCACACTCCAGGAGCAATAAGATCGTGAGATGAATGACAACCATCCCTCGCTTTCATCTCACAATTCTGTTTTTCTTATTTTTTTGTTTCCCCYCCCCCCCCCCCAATTCTTTCTCTCGGCGCACTTCAGCGAGGATCCTCGGAAAAAGTTGTGAGTGACGGACACGAGTGAGTGCCCTTTGCATCAGCTCGAAGAACAAAGCAGTGAGTGGCCTGATTGACAAGCTGCAGCCGAGCCCTCGGAGGGTTGTTAATCTCCCCCTGTGAGAGCTGGAATTATCTTGCTGGACCTCCTGCCCTCTCACTGAGAATATGCCAAGTTTGGGAATTAGACAGCGCAAGGACATGCTTCATCATTTTAGCTGCAGACAGGAAGGAATTTAGGTGAGAAGAACAAAGTTTGGATGAATTCACCTACAGTTTCATTTAATCTGGGTTTAACCCCAAACACCGGGAGGACTGGTTTTCTGAGGGAGGTTTGGAGGATGGGATTTTAAAGGCGACACCCGGACCGAAGCCCTGAAGAGGGAAGTGGTTTCTGCCGTGGTGTAAAATTTAGTTTGCGCTGAGATTTAAAAAGATAAAAACATGCTGCATCATTAGCTGGATAATCACAGGGGTTTACAGGGGGGTTTTTCAGGGACTATTTCTTGGCTGGTGCAGCGACTTCCTGATGAATCGATATGAGAGAGGCATCGACCGTCTCATCTCACAATACAGCAAATCACCATATTGTCTCATGTGCATCTTCGTGCATTTAAATGATGCTTTAAAGTTCATCACATTTTAATTTGACAATTTATTCTACAGGTCGAAGCTTCGTGAGTTCGTTCCTTTGTTTCAGAACCAAACCACGGTTCAGGGAACATTCTAACGAGTCGGCTCGTTCTTTTGTTTCTTTATTTTAACTGAGAGTTAACCTAAAAAAATAAGAATCGGCTGCAGCATTTTATAAATACCTGCACAAAGCTGATGGTAGAACCGTAATCGTCCTTCATCACCTGTGATACAGCACCTGAATTATATAATAATATAAAGATATTCATTTATTTCTTCTTCTGCGCTATAAAACTAAAGATTTTATTATTTTCATTATTATTATGTCTCAATTTAATTGAGATGAACGTGTGAAAGAGACAAACACATTCAGGTTCTGCATAAACTGAATATATTTAGTTATTTATTTTGTTCAGGTCACATTTCGTTTTTTGTCTCGATCACAAGAAAACAGTCGACCCCCCCCCCCCCATCAATGAAAACAACCTCACAGCTCGTGTTGATCACAGAAAAATGATATTCGAGACCTTGTTGTGAAAACTGAATTTGTCTCTTGTGGCTTTTCCGGAAAATAAAGACTTTCTTACACGTCTCCAGCGTAGACGTGAGATTGAGCCGCTGCGAGGCTGCTCATTAATGTTGCCGGGGGAAACACAGCGGGGCGTAAATGAGAAACGTTTCAATGTTGTACCTGGTAACGAGAAACCAATCTGTGGCAACGATTACAAGACTGTCTGTCAATTACCAACAAACTGATGTCAACACGTCATCTGCACGTTTCCTTGTCATGATTTATATGATGACTATATATTCATTTATATATTTATATATCTAGATATGCTGCTATTTATCAATCCTCAAACATCTGGAGTGTTTTAGATAATGAGTCAGAGGAGAAACATATTTGTGTGTCAAATACGATCCCGTTATGATATTTCCATGAATGACTAAAAGAATATTTCACTCACACTCGTGTTTACGTGGTAAAAAGAAAACTATCCTCAGACGTGAGGCAGATTAAACAAAAGTCCTGATTCTGACCCGATGGATTCTCGTCTTTCAGCTCAGTGTTTGGTCTCAACCAGCAAACAAGACAAACACTTAATGATATAAACTATAACTTTGATTTTCCTGCAGTTTAATGTTTCCTACGTTCGGTTTTAAAGACAGCAACAACCTGAAAGGGATATTTTCCCTTTTTCAAATCTATTGGTTCGGCTTTTCTTTATTATATATATTATCACGCACGTTATCGTTGGGTTATCGGCTCCTTTTTCATTCAGGCTACACCGTGTTGTGAGAATCTGTTTCCTAAAATACTCCGCCGGCTTGTTGTTATTCCAGTCTCTTCTGTGCCTGTGCTTTTGTCTAAATTTCTCAATTTCTCACTTCCACTTGAGAGCAAGCTGTTGGTTAATTGGATTTTTTTTTTCTGCCTGGCAAATGAGGATTGTGACGGGGGCAGGACACACACACACAGAAACACACACACACACACACACACACACACACACACACACACACACACGTTACTTTTAGGGACATTAAAGACTTGGGTTAATTTCCCGACGACTCTCTTACCCTAACCTCAACCCAAGAATTAGACATGGCCTTTGTCTGCGATTGGACAAGCCACTCCGTCTTTATTCTGACATTCAAAGGTACTGACACACACACAGACACACAAACACACACACACACACACACACAGTGACTTCAGAGGACATTACAGACGCAATTTAACGACAAGTCCCCACAATATGAGTAATACCTGCCCCCTCCCACAAACACACAGTTCTCATTACGCTGAGGGATTTAATGGAGGTTAATGTGAAACAGTGAAATTGCCAAAAACACCATTAAGACTATTCACAGATTTTACCGTCGTGACTCAGATTAGTTTCTTCAGACTCCCGACCGTTCAGAAGAAAATCTAAACATCCAGACGCCACACTGATCTGGGCTCTGTTAGCGTTTGTTGTTGGAGGTGTGGTCTCTTCAGTCGTTCAGGGAGTTGATGGCGTCAACTGGACGCACACAGTTCTTTAGAGCGCTTCCTCAACGACAACGTGAAACCAAAACTGACCACATCAAACACACGAAGCTTGATTCAGAATCCAAATTTCTACTTGTTTTGGTTTTACTTAGTTAATTTTTAACGTGTTAAAAACCACACCCACGGTCGCTCTCGAAGTGCATCCTGGGACGAGGTTTTCTCCTGATCACCGGACCCCTCGGTGCTCCTGGGCCTCGTCCCCTACGTCAACCTTCAACCCCGAGAGAGCAAAGATAAGAGACTGTTCCCGATGAATAAAACAACGTAGTTTACGGAGCGCTCTGTCACCAGCAGTTGGTTTCAGGTGAGCGGTCTGTTGTGAGTAATAACCTTCTACTGTCACAGTCCCGGCGATCTGAAGCTCTGTCCGGACCGGCTTCATTTGGCGCGCTCGTGGAGGTTGGGTGACTTTTACCATTACCTGCGCTGGTCAGTGATTTTAATCCCATCGAGCGTACGAGGGTAATTTTTCTGTCCCGACCCCGAAATAATTACAGCTGCAATTACCCACAGCTTCTTTTTTTTTTTTTTTTTTTTGCGAGCCCACTGGCCCGCTTGTAATTTAAATTCCATCTGGAGAGAAGTCCTTGTGTTTTTAAGTGGACCTCTGAGTTTGCTCTCCATGAAGGACTGGCTGTCCTTCCACTTTCTGTTTTTGCGAGTGTGAAATTCTGACTTCAGTGTGAAAAGTGGAGGTTTTTTCTCCTGAACGTGAAATCACATGTAACGCACGTTCCTGATTTAATTGGATTCATGAACGACGGACACGGTGAAACACGTCTCCTTCAGACGGATGAGGTAAATTACACAAGCACAACGTTTCTTGCCACACAAGAAGCGGAGCCTGGTTTTTGTGTTGGAATATAATTATGAACATTATCCAGACTTACGTTTAACGTCCTCCTTCGTTGACTTTCTCCATCGACGAGGGTCAGCAGCCGTTAGAGAAACGCCGGCGTGATATTTGAGAAGCTCCGTCCCTGTTAGAAAACGATTAATACTGTTATCATTTTACTCTGGTGTAGAATATTTTTAAGTATTTATCGACTCCCAAGCGCCCTCTAGGTGAATTGCAGCCTATTTCGTTATACCAGCGTGAACAGGAAGTGATTCCAACACAATATTTAAACTCCGTTAACTTACTTCTGTATTCAGCTCATTTAATTTGACTAACAAGATGAATTACTTTGCCCCATAAGTAATATTTACTTCTGTACTCAACATAATCCTGAAACTAATGTTAATATTTACTGGTGATACTACGAATATAAGTACTACACAGCACAAATATTTTTTTTTACTTCCTGTGCCAGTGTTTTTTTTTTAAAACAAGTTATAAGTCACCATCTCTGGATTTGATTTTCAAACTGTGTCTCTCATGTAAAACAACAGAGAGCCGCTCCTGTCGACGACATTAGACTGAAACGTGCTTTAGCTCGACACAGCGGTGCACCTCCGCTCGTAATGAGGGCAGGCGGCTCTCGTATATATAGTTTTAAATAAATGAATGTAGTTTCATCCGCGGCTCTCTCTCCTCAAATAACTCGGAACAGAAGCAGCTCCTGCATTATTCCACCTCACCGAGAGCCGAACAACGGCGGGAGCAGCGGCAAATTGTATTTGAATTGACGGCTCCATGGATCTGCCCACAGGCAGCAGAGTGTGGGAGTTGTCGGAGGCCTCCGTGTATTTCTGCGGTGACGGCGGAGCCTCCACGGGAAGCACTTAATTAGTTGAGAAGTCCCACCCTGTCACTTGGCTACGCTCGCTTCCACCTGCATCAGCGCACAAAAGGTTTTCCTTTGTCGTCTTCTTCCTGAAACACGTTCCCGTCACTTCCTGCACGTCTGCGTGAAGGATCTGGAATTCTTCAAGCCAAAATAAGCTTGAATTAGTTTGACTCGCCTGCTGCTTACTTTTAATGTTCTTTAATTAGTTTCACCAGTCTGCCTGGTTCTCCGCCCCGGTACCTGCAGGCTGTCATTAGATGTTTAATGATTACCTGAAATAACTGTTGAGCAGCAGCAGTGTCGGAGACGCTTGGATCTGTGAGTCACAAGCTTCTTCACGAACCGGCTCTCTCTCACACACACACACACACACACACACACACACACACACACACACACACACACACACAGTGCTGCAGCATTATGGGCTACGTGTCTTGTTTGATGGAAACGTTCCTGCTGTGAAAGTACAGCGGCGTTGCAGTTGTCAGACGCATATTTAGAGTGAATCCTCTAATAATTTAGTTTGCAAACTCAGTCAAGTGCCTCTCGCGCAGGAAGTCAAGAGAGGATCCTTTTATTTTTTCTTCTCCTCCGCCGCTTATTAGCTCAGAAGTTTGGAGGAAAAGAAACTTTCTCCACAACTTTTTTTATTTTTTTATTTGAAAAAAAAAGAGAGTAACTGGGCTGAGGTTGTGTAGGTGGCACTGAAGTCAGAACAGTCTGAATCCAATAAATAAGCAGTGGAGGTGATTCTAACCACTTCATCTCATTTCTCTGGTGTGTGTGTGTGTGTGTGTGTGTGTGTGTGTGTGTGTGGCCATCTCAGGACAAAGACGAGAGGAATCCGAGCACACGGAGGGCAACAGTTGGTGAACGGGACACATGTGAATCCCAGTGGGAAGATTTTTAAATGAGCACCAGCTGTGAGGCTGTTTCCAACATGGAGTCATTACTTTATTACATTATTATTTCTATACATCAAAGTGACAGAGATTCACTTATCACAACTTGTGTCTGGTTCAGTGCATCTTCTGCCAAATTCAGCGCGATGGGTTCACGTAATTACACACGGCGAGCTCCACAAACACAGATGGAGCCCTCATGCTGCTCCGTTACGGGCGTGAAGCTTCGGTGTGCGAGCCGACCGTGAGGCCGCATCAGCCGACAGTTTGTTAAACCGGGCTGATTGTCTGAGCTCCACCCGGGGTCAACAGGTACAGAGACACAGGAGCAGCACAGCAGACACGCTGAGGCTGAACGCCACATGAACAAAGATGGAGGACGAGTCTCTACTTCCTCACATTGTTGCGTCACAGCGCTGCGATTAGAGCGTCGCGGTTCTTAGGCTCCAACAAAAGCGTCCCTCCGCCCTCGAGCGACGGAGGCTCCACCGCGTGGATCCTTCCCGCCCGGCACCCAACATATCCCACGATTCATTGCGTTTCTGCGACAAACTGTTTTTTTTAAAAAAAGTGTTTCTGGCCCGATTGTGTCGTTAGTTGAAGCTGTAAAGGATGAAATGATTGACAGGTGAGACTGCGATCGGTCGAGCGAGTGTGTTCCCAACTCTGAGGTGGTTTCAATTTTCATCCCACGTCAACTCGGAACATTAACTGACAGCTGGAAGCTTCGTGTGTTAATGAGCTCGTCTTCGTTTTTTACCTGGTGAATTCCTCCTCTCAGCTGCGCCGGTTCAGCTCAGTGATCCAGTTCCTCCACAAACTCTCGGAGGCGAAGCCGCCATCGTTAACGAAGGTGCAGCAACAGCGACGAAGCGAGAGGGTCAGCCGGATGCTCCTGCGGTATTTACATGGAACTCACTCAAGGTGAGAGGGAGATGAGGCTCCTGGGTAAATGAAATAGTCAGCGGCGACACCATCATAATTAAAACCTGTTGTGGGAGCGTGGGACACAAACACAAGCTGCATATAAATGTGGTTCCAGTTGCTCTGCCTCCGTCAGTTACCGGGTTGGACGTTGGGAGTGAAACTCGGGCGCAGTGTGAGGTGCAGCAGGTGAGGGAACAGCAGGAAGTCCTGCAGAATAAAACCACAGTAAATCTCTCGCAGCTCCGGAGAATCTAAATGAACTCCTGCATGTTTCATTGGTTCATACCTGGTGTGAACTCTGCAGCAACGTGCTCCTCTGCAGGTTGGTGGAGTCGTCGTTCACGTGAGGCTTCTGTAAACAACGTGCATTTGTGTTCAGGGCATTCAAACAACAGATTAACGTTCAAATGTTAAGGAGCATTCAGATGGGACACTGCACTTTAATCACAAACATCTGGATTTGCTTGTTGGAGATGAACATATGATGTGAAAGGAACCAGAGTGAAACATGTGATCTGTTCACATTCTGTTAGAAACGGAGGATTGTGAAATTATAATGAACTGGATGACGGAGTATTTGCACCACAGGGGGGAAAATGTGGGATTTCAAGAATAGTTCCTACAAAAACGTCTTTATTCTCTTAACATCCTGACTTTTACTGATTACATCTGATATAGATAATAGTAGTAGACATAGTTATTCTCGTAATATTTTGAGTTTTGTTCTTTAATTTAATTCTGTTACTGTAACTTGTTCTTGTGAAATAATTTTATTCTTGCGTTACGAGTCTCGTTAGGGCCCCAATGCTCGGCCGCACATCAACAGGCCAAGTATCACAAGTTCTTCAAGTCCTGACTTAAGATGCCGTTCATGAGTGGAATTCATTTTCTGGATTATTCAGACTCCACACGTCACTGGATGTCACCGCCCTGTTTTACATACAAATACAAAGCATAGTCTGTTTTCAGAGACGAGTGAAACCACAGATCTGTTCCGTAACTTGTTCTAAATGTTTGATGCACTCATGTTAAACCTTCAGACGTCACAAAACAAAACCAGTCGAATGCGATTTGAGGACAAAGTGAATCTTCACTGATTTACCGACTTCATCATGTTGGAATCTGAATTTACTCTTGTTTATTTTAGATCACATCCAAACCAACCTCACAGTCGACCTCAAACACAAGAGGGAAGAACAAACTGCCAACGCTGCAGTGATTCACTCGTCTCCCCCGGAGGTATTCAAACACTAGCTTTTACTCAGAGTGCAGATATCCTGTGAAATTGTTTGGACAAATGGCCGGAGAGGAATAAAAAAAAAACTGTTTACCTTTTAAATGCAAAGAGAAATGTGACATTTTATTTTGCTTTTGTTTTTGTTCACAACTCAGACAGGAAGAGGCAGCGAGCGAGAACACGAAGGAAGCTCAGACCAAACAGGTTCTTTGAAAATATATGCGAACAGGCAGTTTTCAGTGGAATCAATTTTTATTATTTAAAGCACCAAATGACAACACACATCATCTGAAGGCACTTCGCTGTGAGAGGGCCACACCTTACAAATAAAACTCTCAGCAAGAAGAAACCTCCAAGAGAACCAGACTCTGTGAGGAGGAGAGTCTGCCTCGACCAGCCGGGGGGTGAGGAGGAGGAGGAGGAGAGGAGGAGGAGAGGAGGAGGAGAGAGACCAGGAGAAATAAGAAATAATGTTAACGACAGCACCGGTTAGTAATAGTAATTATAAAACAGATAAAATCCTAATGAGTAGAATGTCACTCAGTAGAGGACACACCTACAACGAGACCCTTCAACGCAATCAAGACACAACAAAGATCATGAATCTCCAGAGCAGGAGAATGAATCCACATGATCCCGGCCACACAGAGCGGATTCAACTTCTGTTCGTTCAACCCAAGAAAACACAATGAAATCGGTTATATCCAGATTTTACACACACCCACGGATTTTACTCTGGATTTATGAACGTGTGGTGTTAGAGCTTTGACATTAAGCTCTTCCTGCTTTGATTCAGTGCCCTGCTGACACCTCTCACTGCAGTGAGGATCCTGTGTTTCTCTGTGTGGATGACTTCCCTCCTGACCCATGTTCCGATGTGTTCAGTCCAAAAACAACTGGACACGTCGGCAGGTTTCTGTTTAAACCTGGTGACAAACAAACAAACCGACCATGCAACAAACCGCTCAGACCTGCACCAACACCAACCTTCACTTTATAGAACCGAATTAACCAGATTTAGTTTTTATTTGGATCTGCACCGAATCACTCTCTCATAAATCATCAGTCCCTTAAATACTTGTGACACCGAGATCCAGGAATCGTTCACTGGAAAGTTGATTAAAAACACATATTCTCACAATGTGAAGGAAAGTGGAAAACCAGTTTAACGAGTTCTCTCTCGGCTTTCTCACTCCAAGTTTTCATTCGGTAGTTTTTTGCGTAATCCTGCTGACAAACAAATCAAGATAAAGAAGTGGACACGGGTGGAAACGCGACCTCCTCCTGCAGAGGGGACAATGGTTCAGATTCAGAACCGTCCACATCTGGACCGTGCGGCTCTGGACTCGTAATGAACCAGCGGAACGAGGACAGAGAGGAAAAGCACAAACCACTGCAGAGAGACAACAGAGTTAATGACTTGTGCTAATGTGATAAAAACACATGGGGGTGAAATAAATTCATCTGAGCTATGAATCGTGCCGGGGTTTAGTCTGCTGGATGATTTTTAAAGCCTCTGATGTCCCGAGTCAGCAGAATGTGCAGGAGAGTGTGGAAACAACATGTCGGAGCGCTGCTTTTAATTAGATTATTGAACAGTGCATCATGTGTTGACTCTGATGGGAGAAGCTACATGTGGGAACCAAAGAGCCGCAGCTGCTTTTACCACAGGAGGGGAAAAGTGCACGATGATGGCTGATGCATAACTTTGTGAGAAGAAATGATTTTGTCGCTTTAATATAATTTTATTTGTCCCTGCAGCAAAAACAAAAACTGTCTTCGACCAAATGAGCACAGGAGAAAACACTTTGTCTTGATTCCATGAGATTCATCACAGTTTGTGATCAGCAGGTGGAAAAGATTTGAATTTTATAAAAAAAAGGAAACTGACTCACGGACTCAGTCGACAGGGAAGCAAACTGGAAATCCAAAACTCCGACAAACGACAAAGGAAGAGTAACGACGGTGAGTGAATCTGAAACACAAGCAGCACAGAACCTGGAGACGTGAGACAAGTGGACACAGGTGAGACACATTTCATCACAGGAAGCAGGAAACAGGAAGTAATACATGCATGCAAAGAAAAACAAGGTGAAACATTTCAAAGTAAAACAGGAACTTATTAAACTCTGCCGAGCTTTCGACTAAATGATTAGTTGAGTTAAGATGATTGAGACGTACTGCTGCATAATGAAAGTCAAACTCGTCAATCACGACATCGACAAACCCAAATTTGAGACAATGCATCTGATCAGAAGTCGCTGTGTCGTTAGAATCCGGACATTCTTCTCAAATGTTCGGCCGAATGTGAGAACACACGTCTGAATCATCTGCTTCAGTTAACGTGTTGATGAGGTTTCTAAAACACCACGGAAGCAAAACCTGGAAGAAAACAAATGTGGAAGACGTCAACTTGGAAACAAAAGATTTGATTCCTTCAGACAACTCTATATTGAGATCTGACAAAAGAACGTTGCTCCTATTTATTTGTATTTAACCCATTTTTAATTCCTGAATCTCCGCAGCAGCAGCAGCCGTCGTCCGAGTTCCGTCGTGTAAACATCTCGATGATTCCTGTTCGCATGTGTGGAAGTCAAACCATCGTACAACAGAGAATTAACAATATATTCACTTTTATTATTAAATTATACATCTATACAATAGATCCTTAATAAAACTGCAGCTATACAAATCATTAAGAAGTACCCACATGATATTACCCATTGCAATAGAACCTAAAACACTCTGAGAGGTATGTATTCATTCTCTGATACTGGAGATCTGCAGACTATCACATTGTGAGACATACTTAGTTTACAAGGACATGCACAGATCGTGGGCCCGGAGGCTCCAGACCCCATCTTTCCACCGGGCCACTCTCGTCGCGTCACTTATAGTCACGCGATGTTTAGCCGTGGCGGCGGCGGCGGCGGCGGGGGGGGGGGGGTGAATTAGTTAGATGAGGATTCTGGTTAGAACCCGACGGTGGGTGTTGCTCAGACTGCTCAGTGGTTTGGCTGCATTGCGACAGTGAGT